ATCAGTGCTGGCAGACATGCTAATATTCTCCCAGCTTTATATAGCTGTTGTCTCTTTCTCAAAAATGGCACCAATGGTTGCTAAGCAACCTAAAACTACTCAGCGTCTGCTGCATTTTCATTTAACGATTAGATGAGTTACTTGTTTTTCCCAGAAGGCAGTGTTAAGAGTATATGTGGTTCAAGGCAACAGGAACTTGCAGGACACTTCTGTTCTTAATTAGTGACAGTGATGTTGCCAGCGTTAAACCAACAGCCTTAATTGTTGCAAAAAAAATGGGAAATCAGGACTTTTTTGAAGGAACACAAGGTGTAGCCTCCTTTGTTTAAACAACAATAGTATATGTTGTTAAAATACACTTTTCAGCACAACACAAAATGAACATGACCGATTCCTAGAAAATAAAGGAAACATGATCACAGTCCAATGCCACAGATGCCTGAGACTGCAGAGCCTTGAGTAAAAATGTAAAAATAAAATAAAACACAACTTCAACTTCATCAAAATCAAAACAAATCTTAACCATGACCATGAAACTGAAAACCCCATAAAAACTGTAAGAAATAAAATGTGAATTTTCTCCATCATAATAAACGGTGGAAAGAAAAGAGATCAGACACATTATGAGGCCTGAAGAAATGAACAACACTTGAAAAGAACCAAGCCCTTCAAGTCATGACTATAACGAGACTTAATTCAAGTATCCGTAAGCAATGACAAAGTCATCTCATCTGACAGATCTGAGGACACCAGCACCAACTCCCGCAGCGATTTCAGAAAGAAATACTGATTGTTTTAATATACCACCCCTGCTTTCCCCTTTCTCTGGCTTGTGCTGTTTGCATTATGTGTTTCTACACACAACATAACACAGCATTTTCATAGCTCGCACTTTTTTGTGCTCGCATACTAAATTTCCATGTATTTATAATTAATAATAATAATAATAATAATTGCTTACACTTATATAGCGCTTTTCTGGACACTCCACTCAAAGCGCTTTACAGGTAATGGGGATCCCCTCCACCACCACCAGTGTGCAGCCCCACCTGGGTGATGCGACGGCAGCCATAGTGCGCCAGAACACTCACCACACATCAGCTATCAGTGGGGAGGAGAGCAGAGTAATGTAGCCAATTCATAGAAGGGGATTATTAGGAGGCCATGATTGGTAAGGGCCAATGGGAAATTTGGCCAGGATGCCGGGGTTACACCCCTACTCTTTTCGAGAAGCACCCTGGGATTTTTAATGACCACAGAGAGTCAGGACCTCGGTTTTACGTCTCATCCGAAGGACGGCGCCTGTTTACAGTATAGTGTCCCCATCACTATACTGGGGCATTAGGACCCACATGGACCACAGGGTGAGCACCCCCTGCTGGCCCCACTAACACCTCTTCCAGCAGCAACCTTAGTTTTTCCCAGGAGGTCTCCCATCCAGGTACTGACCAGGCTCACACCTGCTTAGCTTCAGTGGGTTGCCAGTTGTGAGTTGCAGGGTGATATGGCTGCTGACTATTCTGAATTACAATGATACTATTCGTATTTACAGTGTAGCTATTTGTAATTACATATTTGCTTTGAAATAACTGTGGCATGTGCAGTTACATATTTTAGGAAAATATATTACACATTAATTGCACTGAAACTGAATGTATAACATTGTACATACTGTTTGTGCAAGCACTAAGTTATGATATATTTAATGTAAAGTATGAACACTACGTTCTAATTATAACTTCCACAACCTTACAACCAAAATACATGAGAATTATTGGTCTACAATTACTTTGCTCAGTTTTACACATTAACAGTTTTGCCAGGCAACAGGTATCACCCCAGTTTTGAGTAATACGGAAAAGTTTACACTAAAGAGCTTTCATTCTCTGACACAGAATTTCATGCCACAATCACATGTATTTATTTTTTTCAGAAATGGTGATTCTTGACGACATTATCAGCGAATCCACTGAAGGCACTCTGACTCAGTGTGAAGGTGCCGCTATAAGATAAGTGGATTAGATGGGTTTCAAAGCACCTGTCTGCTCCCCACATTGACCCCTGAATCAGTCTGGGGTTCAGACCAAATAAAACATCTGTACCGGATAGAAGACAAAACACATCACACCCCACTGTGGTTTAATTGCCAAGCAAAGGCCACTCTCTCCCAATGTATGAAGATTAATTTAAGCATGTCTCTCAAAGACCACACGGATGCTTAATTTCCTGTTCCAGTGAGCACTAATGTGAACTAAATACAAAACAGGATCCTTGAAGAATCCCAACAATCGATAGGAGAAACACTCACTATTCTTAATGGTATCTCAGCAAGACACAGAAGAAATAAACAGTCTGGGCACCTGAGCTCTGCCATGGCCTGACCTGCATCTGGAAAAGAATTCCATTGTGGGCGACTCGAGCGTGAGCCGGGAAAAGACTCCATAGCAGTCCTCCTTCCCGGGATTTGGATATTGGGCTGGAATAACCTGTACAGATGTCATCTGCACGGTGTGTGACCTCACAGCTGCACTTAAACCAAAAACTACCTTTGTAACCTCTACCAGACATAAAAGAAAAAAAAAACTTAACAACAAAACATTTCAAAATAAAGTAAGCAATAGATTCTGGAACTAGCCATTGACTAGGTGTTTAATATTACAGTACATTGCTGGTACTAGCACCAAAGAGCTTGATCAGATCTTTAAAGATCACCTTCACTGTCTTTAAATCTACTGACACCGTGGTCTTATATGACGCACATTAAAAGTGCTTGTCAGGTATCTGTGGGCGAATTTAATTTAATTACAACTTACACCAGCTCTAAAGATACATAGTGACCTGCCTTTCACAGCTACTCCTTTAAGTCGATTTATGGGTAAAAATCACTGATGAAGAAATACAGTTGACTGGATTCAATACAATGACAAATAATTCAGCACATCAAATTGTCCATGGGTAGGAGTCAGAAAAATGAGCTTGAATTGTCACGGTGAAAATTCAATCACAGAACCGTTTAATACGGTCTTTGTAAATACACAGCAGGAGCCAAAACAGATCAAATGCGAATCTTTCGAGGCCAGTTTTAGTCAAAAACATGTTTAGGAAAATAAGAGGCATTTTAAGTTTTAATAACATATAAGATGACATAGTTAATGTACATCCGAATGTATGAACTGCAAAAAGGAAAGGGGATTTTCTTTCTTTTCTGTATAAGTCAGCTGATCCTCCTAGTTTCTGACTAGGAAACCTGAAGGAACAATGTTACAGTCATGAGAAAAATCCAAAATGTTTCCACAAATATGTACCAAAAATGAAAAACGTGTCGCACTAGTTAAAAAACATACTAATTGTCTGTTTCATGTACAGGACACTAGGAAAGTATTAACCTTAATTAGTTATTATGGCAGAAGAATTTGATACCGTGAAAAATGAAATGGTTTTAAATAGTGTCCAGATAATGTTGAGTAAGAGCAATAAATAAAGTGTGGTGCGAGTTTGAGAGGCAGGAGCACACCAGTTAACTGTAACTGAGAGCTGGGAGATCACCAGTGCCAGACAGGGAACCCTTGAGATGACACTGACAGGGACAGAGCAGGTCACATTCCCCACGGAGGACCGGTGGCAGAGAATGACCATGGAGTGGGAAATCTCAGGAAATCTGCTGGAAGAGGAGGGGCAGGAACAGAGAGGGGGGGCAGGAGGGGTGATGGGAGGGAGAAACTGGAGGCCGGGAACGGGAGAGGATGGTGGTTGAGACTCGGGGGTTTTGATTTGGATATGTGCAGCAATAGGGAGCCAGTGCAGGGAATGATTAACGGAGCAGCTTGAGAAAAGATCAGGCAAGATGCAGAGCCCTGGAGGAGTGGACAGAAAAGTTGGGTAGGGAGGCTCGCCCAGTCTTCTCAAGCAGAGTACTGGGAACTGGACTGGGAGTTGTGGAGAACAGGTCCTGACAGAGGAGAAATGTATGTGCGAATGGCGAGGGAGGGGGCAAGAGAGACGTAGAGGGTTTTGTCACAGACGGAGGAGGAGAGGGCGGCACAAGGCAAATAGGAAGGACAGAGGTTAGACTTGAGAGAATGAGAGTAAGATAATGGGACTGTATCCATCTCAATGGAAGGAAAAACAGCAAACATTTTAAATTGAGGACATGTAGACTGAAAACTGAAATTCTTAATTTTTTTGCCACATCCACTTAACCTCCAGATTTTTTGATTAATGACTTTTGCTCATCACTCTTACAAAGACTTTGAAGCACAGTGCATTTCAGAACAGAACTGTTACTTACTTAGGGAAACTGGTATCATTTATGATCACATACATCTACTTATAAACTGGTTAAATTTAACAGAAGAAAAGACTTGAGTATTTTCAGTTATAATTCGGTAAAGTCTTGCTGTGTTGGCAGGTCAGATTAATGTTTCATTCATTGAAACTCAGGAAACACATAGTATGTCTTGCAGGCACACCAAGAAACAGAGCAAGGAGACTGTCAAATGCGCATGGGCCGAGTCAAGAAGACAAGCAAACAACAACATGAATATGAAAGTGATCAGTCTCCTACACTGAGATGATTATCTCACAAAAATAAGTGGATTCATTCACAGGGTTTTCGACAACTTTGTGCCTTCATCAGTTACAGTTCATGAATTATACTGTAGCTCACACCCGCTTCTTTCAGTTAGCAGTGTTCTACAGCAGTTCACCCCATATATTGCTATCTGATGTTTTATATTATTTTTAGTAGGTACTCTCCTTTTTAAGACATTGTGAGGACGGCTATCATCAGAGTACTTTGGTATGGTCATTGATTTACTTCACACACATTCCCCAGGGGCTGCAGGATTGCAATCAAAATATGACAAAAGTGAAAATGAGGCTGGAGCATTCTTACCTTCGCTGGGCTGAGGAGAAGACATAAACCCCCAACAGCACAGGAACAAGACAGACTTTAAAAAGTGCCTGGACTGCCTTTGAGCCCAGCTGTCCCCTTGGCTTACCTGTGCTGGTCCGGTAGGTGCCAGTGTGTCCTGGCTGCAGTGGGTCTCCTTGACTTTGACTGAGACTCCTCATAGGGGGCTTTTGGTAGACCCTGTCCTCATAGATGGGGTCAATGTGGTGTTCTGGAGACTGCAGTGTCCGGAGCTCAGCGCCAAGGTGACTGTGCTGACTGCTGTAGGATCCTCTGGATCCTGCCAGAAAAAAAACACAAGGTTTTTTTAAGGAGACTTAAAACTTAAAACAAATGCATGAAGGAAGGTTTTAGGGGCACTCAAAAAAGATTCGGCATCTCTAGCTCGCTGTATGTTTGTGTACCTCACTTCTCTCATGGACATTTCTGTTCCGGAGTTCAAGTGAAAACTTTCCTAAGGATGATGCTCATAACTCACCTTGTGGAGCACGGATCAGTAATGGAGACCGGAGGTGACTTTCTGTTCTAACAAGCTCTGTCTTACCTTGACATGCTTTAAAATGCTCCACAAAACAGGACTGTGAGAGGAGGGTAAGCCTAGACAAGAGTTTTCATGTCCTTGCCTGAACCTATCACCCTCTCACAGGATGCAATCTGCATCCTGATAAACAACTGAAAAGGGAGCTTCAGAATATGTGAAAGACCTCAAGCAGATGGAGAAAATAAACCAAACAAGAGATGTAAGCAATGCTATCATGGACCTTTAGCAAAAGAATTGCTTACATTACCTGCCCTACATGTTTGGGCACTTGGAGTTACAGTAAATATAACAACAGGAGAAGGAAATAATATTTCTTCCCTCCCAGCATCCCGCTTTCTGCAAATTAGTTTTCAGTGGAATGTAATTCCCCAAATTTACAGACAATAAAAACCTGAAGTTTCAGCCCTCACTCCTCCTAATCACCTTATCAGCATCAACCAGCTGTCTGCCTCTGGTCCAAAACCAGATTTCCATTGTTGTACGGGAAGATCTTCAGGGATAAGTAAAAACTCAGTAAACCCAATAGAAACATCATTTTCTCACAAACAGGTTAAGAAATCTCATTGTTGGCGCCCCAGGACTCTGAAAAGCCTGAATCTGTCCATCAGAATTAGAGAAGAGCACTGTCTAGTGCATAAGCTCTAATCCACATCTCAAAGTGGAAGCTGAATGAAAACTTCAATAGAGGAAAAACCAAAAAATACTGCAAATTGAAACATTTATAGACAAACATCACACTGATAGCTATATATACGGCCATCCTTACGCAAACCAATTACATTTATAGAATCACCAAGTCATCTACTGTAACTCAAATAATCATCTACTGTAAAAAACACAACAGCATTGCCAAGACTAAATAGTGCACAATAGTGATTGAAGCAATCAGGATATAATATTGCAACATAATAAAATCAGTTCTGTTCATCTTAAATAAAGAACTACTAAACTCTTTTTTAAAGCACTAAACACTTTAAACAGTCTCTTACATTTTTCACAGAAACATAAACAATGAGTTATCCCTCGTCTGAACAAGGTGTTGTTATCAAAAGAAATATCATTTCAGCTGGAAAGCTTCACACTTAAAATCATTCATTTTCAGCAAACTGCTTTATCCTTTGAGGCTTGGGGCTAGGGGTGAGCCAGGGGCTAGGGGTGCGCGCACGCACGCACGCACGCACGCACGCACGCACGCACGCACGCACGCACGCACGCACACACTGTGCTCTTTATAGCAATAACTAAGTTATTGAGCTTTTAACCAAAACTAACATGTGTATCTGTTTATACAGTTGTGCATATTACTGCTTCGCTCTTAGTGAAAGGTCTTGCTCGACATTCCCCTTCAGAGTCCAGAGCCCTGACCACAACTCCACACGGCTTCAAAGATGCCAGCGAACCCCAAGAACATGCCTTTAGACAGCGCAAGGAAAGAGAGTGCCTTGCAAAAATAATTTTTGACCTTAGAACATTGGCCCTGCTTATCTTTATGAAGCAAAGCTGCTTCCTTTTTGTATTTTGCAGTCTTTGAAAGGAACACCTAAAGTAATAATTTGTCTTTCTTTTTTCTCGCTGACAGGATGTATTGGCTGTGCACTTGATAGAGTGAAAATTAGGGATTCATGTGAAATCCTTATTTTAACAGTTTTCAAAGCTGCTGCTGGCAATTTAGTATGAAATGGACTCTGAATCCTTGACCACTACATCGTTTTATCTCTTCAGAGGCTGTAATGGTAATTAACATCAGATAGAAAGCTGCACCAAAGCCAGAGAAACCGGAGAACAGGACTTAATCAAACTAGTGTGTAATCATTTTCCAATCTGTGTGTTAATCTCTAGGTGTTTTTTCACTCTTGACTGAGCATATATAATGCCTTTCTGATTTGAAAGTACTTTGCATAAGATGGAACCACTTGGAAGATCTGTCTTAAAATCAGCATCTTGCATTCAAATAAAATCAGAGAGTTCCAAAAAGCCAAACATTGAGAACCAGGCATCAGATAATCAAAGAACTTAAGTGAGACTCTCACACAATGAGAGATTAGTAGTCTTTCTGTGATTGAAACCCTTTACTTTCATTAGAATTTATGAGATTCAAAATAATCAGTGAAAGACTCCTTAAATGTTTATGAAAATGCCAATGAATTTGAGACATGATCATTTGAAAAACAGAATGACTGGGGCTGTCTATATTTGAGCAAATATAATTTTGACAATAAAGTACTTTCTCCAGTTTGTCACCTGAACATCAGAACGGTTAAAGGAAAGAGGTAATCATTTACGCTTAACACACATGGAGTAAAAAAGGGAGGTGCATTTAAAACAGAAAGCAGAGGCATTTTAATATTGTTAGAGTCTGGAACAAACTACCCAGCTGTGTTGACAAAGCCAACTACTTCTAGAGAAGCAAACAAGTAAGATGGGCAGAATGGCCTCTTCTCGGTTATTAATCTTTCTAATGATCTAATGATCTTAATAGACCAGAAAATCTCTCGTAGTGAAACTGTGATGCAAATGTTTCTTGAGACACTGGAAATCTGGAGTTTAATTCCATATTTATTCACGTACTGTACAGTACCCAGTAGACAACCACGACAAATGAGGATTCAGTTTGTAATGCCACATTTTTAAGAACTATTTTGATGCAGCTCTATCACCATGAAACAGAAACCTACATGTATTCCGTTAAACAATCTGTCTCTGTCTCCCCTACTGTATGTGCTAAAGATGAACCTTCGAATGCACCCACGATTTGAAAAAAGTGCAGACCCATATGCTGAGAATGGCTATGGCACATGATTCTCACAACCACAAACAACAACTCTCCCAAACAAACGGATTCTTTCTTTTTCTCGATCATCTGCAATTTAATTGACTCAAAACTTTCCTGCTTCGTGGTTTCCAAGACAACAATAACTGATGTCAGTCTCATAACTCATTTATAGGTTTATACCCCAGATGGCAAGTAGTTGCTTGACCCACATTCTTCACTAACTCTCAGGAGTGGCAAGAGGCAGTAGAACAATTATTCCCGACTCTGTTTGCTCACTGGCTGCAGGGCGGGAGCAATCACTCACTTTCTAGAGCTTGCAGTGCCAGAAAGATGTTTGTGGATCCCCCAGGTTGGTCTGTATTCTTGTGTATGTTAGAACTAAAATGTTATTAAATTTTCATGTAAGACTTAATAAGAGCTAATCTCATTAAATAAAACAAATACACAAAATCTATTTGAATAATTTAACAAACTGGACCAACAGTAAATATCCTTGTGTGAATAAGTGCAATATGTGAAGTCTTACATTCAATAACTGGTGGGACCTCCTTGAGCAGCTATAACTTCAGCTAGATGTTTCCTGTAGCCATTTATCTGTCTCTTGCAAAGGTTTTTAAGACTTTTGGCCCATTCCTCCTTACAGAACTGCTTCTTGTCTGTGACATATGAGGGTTTCCTTGCATGAACAGGTCTGAACTTCCGCTTGGCCGATCCACACGGTGACATTTCTTTAGCCATTCTGTTCTAGATTTGCTTGTACTGTATGTTTAGGATCATTAGGATCATCTTGATGCATGACCCAGTTTGAGCTTAGCTTCAGCTGATGAATGGACAGCCTGAGATGGTAACTATATATCCTTTAATGAAAAGACAGTTTGATTAAGCGAGGGTATCACAGTAAAAACTGTAATTCCCATAATTATATTGGGGGTTCTTTTTATTTCTGGCACTAAAATAACAATTATAACTAGACTACACAGAATAAATTAAAAGAAATAAGGAGTTAACAAAAGGTTCAGTAGTCAGAATATGTCATTTCAAAGTACAGCACAAGGAAACCTGGTATAATTCGAGTTTCAGAATAGTCCTTGATGTGTATAACACAGAGAAACAAGAAACAAGAGGTGGATCTTCAGTACTAAGGAAGGTATTGGTACCAAGCGACTTGTTTCCTTTGCCTGGTTCTTAAAAAATGAGCCTCAGCTGTCAACACTTAGCTTGTTTCTTAACCTATTGTGGTTGTAGGTTAAGAAAGAAACTAAAATTGCACAGCCTATTGCATTCTGGTTTAGGAAAGACCTGAATCTTCTGGATTTGCCGCTGAAGTAGGTTTTAGAGGTCAGAAGTTCTGAGAGCTTGAAAGAAAAATACGGCTGCACAGAAGGAGTTAGACTTTATATTTGCTGGTTTTGGAAGTAATGAAAGACTTTTTAACATTGTGCTGCACTCTGTGTATACCAGAAGAACGTTTGTGTGGCTTGTTTTCCCGTAGTAGATAACATTATGAAATTGAAAGATCTTGGCCAGTAGTGACCCCCTATACTGTCACAAATGACAAATCAACTGACTGAACAACCAATCATCAATGCCAGGAAAGCAAAAAGCACAATACTGCATTTACACCTGAAAGGCCTTAAGCTCATTATGCAAGCTAAACATTTTAAGGATGTGAAGGGCCTATGGATTGTCATACTATACCTGTCTCTGTGCAATATGTTAGTTTGTAGACATGAGCAAAGCAAGTTACACTTACAGTAAGTTCCATACAGAGCAATTCCTTCTGAGAAAATAATTAATCAGGTCGCTGCAATGCACAGAAAACTGAATAAACAAAATCTCTTTAAAATACAAAAACACCATTTTACCCAAAACCTTTTGTTTACCCAGTGGGGAATACATTTTTTTCAGAAATACAGGAGCTTTTACAGTACTGTATATTCAAAACTGAAACAATACTGAACAGACTAATCCTTTACATTACTAACCCTATGAAAGCCTGCTAATGAAACTTCATATAGGTCTGTGAAACCCTGAGTATGTCTTCAAATACTCTCATCCTTGCATCCACCCAGACCCACAAAGGCCTTCTCTAAAGAAGAGGCAGTGTTAGAACTGAGTCTAGCTCATTGGAAACAAGGCCAGCCTGTGCCTTTTATTTTAATCACACTGACATTGGAGGCCAGCCAATGTTTCAGGTTGGCTTCTGCTGGCTTTACAGTGTTTAGTTTTCAGCCTCCTATAGTACGGCAGCAATGCTCTAAACTAAATCAAGTGACAGGTGATAGGGCAGAAAATCAATAATGCCACGCACACTCTCAGAATATCAATTTTCTAGGTTTTCAGATAATGAACTCCGGAGTAACAGCAAATTGCCAAAACGCAGAGGATAAACTCATGAGCTCAAAATGGTGGAACAGTATCAATTCCTTTTTAAGCTGGCAAAGGAGACTGTCTGACTGACTGTTTCGAAACTTTACCCTGAGCTCGCACTGCAATGTATTTGCACAAATGTCAGTCCCCTGGGCATTTGTCCCCATTTTCTGACATATTTAACAAAGCCGGTCAGGCCTGATTGTGCATTAGTTAGACCTGCAACAGACCAAAGCTGGTTTAAGAACACAGAATCTTCTCAAAACACACCTGTATTCATCACAACCTTGAGCCACAGTGACTTACTCTCAGGAAAAGCACTGAAGTGACAAATATGCTTAAAAACATAGTGCTTTATTTATAAGGCTTTCAGATGTTTACTCAAGACTGAAGGCTAGAACAATGGGAAACAGGTGTCCCAAGATACAGAAACAAAAAACATGAAAACCAAGGGCAATACTTTAAGAAACACAAATTTAGAATATTTTCCCCTTAGCCTTTTCACAGCACAGCCTTTGTGTGTGTACTGAACCCTTTGTTATAATCTTGTTAGGGGTTTGTACTCACCCACTGTACCCAGGCAGACACATATATTTTAGAGTGTACAATAATTTTGGTGTTCATGCCCTGAGGTTGTTGCTTCACTTTAATAAAAAAATGATACTCCTTAGAGCTGAAGCTGATATGTTATTTACTTGGCAAAGGAAACTGGCACTGTTGTGAGCAACAATCACACAATACTGCATTTAAAAAACAGCTATAGAAATTTTTTCAGGCAAAATGTAAACCATAACCTTCTCTGTTTTATTTTTCCCATAAAATAAGTGGTCTTCTGGAGACCAGTGAAACTAAAGCCTCCATTTCTTTGATTTGTCTGCATGCAGACAAAGTATAGAGCCTGTGAAGCCTTGGTATTTTTTCCTTCTGTGACAGAGCTCCTGCCACCCCTGCTGTGAGAACTGTGTTTGATTATAATGGGCAACACAGACTGTCCACAACCCCAAAATCCATCTACTGTATAGTTAACCAACAACACATGGATAAGAAGAACAGATCATCCCTAAAGGAGTGCTATCAGATTCTTCACACAACAGCTCTTAGCTCTCAGCTAGATTGTTGGTTTCACAGTCAGCTTCAAATGTCAGAAGTATCCAAGAAACCAACTCAACAAGGGTCAAACCAGGCAACCGAACAAAAATCTGTTGAACAAGACAAACACTACAGTACGTACCTGAACAAAACTGTTTGGTTAAGTTAAACAACATTAACAGCAGGAATGGTGTTACAAATATAATGCGTTAAGTCTGTTACAAGACTTGCAAGATCACATTTTCTGAGCCAGCAATTTGCAAAACACAAATGTGAAAAAATAACAAATAAGCCAGTTTGAACCATCAATAAGAACGTTTCTTCAATAGCTGGCAGATCCGCCCCCAAAACTCCATTGAGACCAAGAGATTCACGGCCTAACATGGGCATAAATCACAACACAGCTGAGGCAATAAAATCACAAGGCAGACATGGCAAAGAAGGGTCTTTAAATCCAGAGCTGAACAGCCATGGGTTTGTCACAGCAAATGCACCACTCTGGGCCCTGACTGGCCCAGAATGCAGTGTGGGAAAGCAGGCAGAAACATTTGAGTTCAGTAGTATATCCCGCATAAAGCTTTTATGCTTTAAAAGAAGAACAACTACTATTTGTTTCCATATACTGAATGGGTATATATAGGAGAGTATATATACACCCATATACCTCAGTACAGTAGATAATTCATATTTGAAATTGATGTACAGTACTGTACATACAGTATAAGACTCTTAAACTCAGCAATATCTTTAAGGTTCGCTGCAGTGTCCTACAGTGGAGAATGCTGTTGCTGAACATACAGAAACACAGCTAGTAGACTGAGATGAGCAGCAGATGCCTGCTGGACCCGCGGCGAGCGCACGGCGCCGGGCCGGCCGGTGCTTACCCGCGAGGCTGCCGGGTCTCTGCAGGGTGGCCGCGCCGTACAGGTCATGCGAGTGCTTGTACTGGTCGGAGGCATGCACCAGCCGCTTGGTGGGGGACAGCGTGGCGTAGCTGCCCACGGCAGAGCTGATCTGGTGCAGGGGGGAGGAGGGCAGGCCCCCCTGGGCGTTGGGCGGCGAGGCGACACGCAGCGGGGAGGAGGCCAGGCCCGAGGAGGACACCACGATGTTGATGGGCGAGCTGGTGCTGTAGGACTTGGCCAGCCGGCTGGGGGACTGCTTGGGGGAGGACACCCTCTGCGTGGTGGCGTAGCCTGAGGTCTCCGAGGCCGAGCCCACGCGCTGCAGCTTGCTGGGCGAGCCGCCCTGCTGCATGGACAGGGGCGAGCTGACGCGCTGCGCGGGCAGGGTGGAGCTGGAGTAGTAGAGTGCGGGCGGGTGCTGGGGGTCGGGCAGGTGGAAGGCGCTGGCGTGGCTGGGCGCGAAGGACTCGCGGGGCGGGGGCTGCGAGGACTCGCCCGCTGCCAGCTGGGCGGCGCGGTTCGACGTCACCTGGGAGGAGACAGGGAGCATTTACAATATCGGACGGAAACACCTCACCTTTCAATGACACTCGCACACGTTTCTTTCACTGGTCACTTTTACAAAAGCCCTACAGAATCCGCAAAACCACGGGTCCACGTGTACCCTGACGGCACAGTTTTGGAAAACCGATGTTTCTCCCCTTCACTCAGTGCGAGGCAGGGAAGTGACTGATTGACCAACCACACCGGCGTGCTGGTCCAACAGGCAGAGAGCCTGGGAGCCTGCTAGACTCATCAGAGGACGAGCAGGGCCAGCCTGCCACAGGACCTCTAGCAACACTTCGAAATAAAAACAGAAAGAGTAGTGTGTCACCCTGAAGGTGCGCGACTCCAGCCCTCCAGGAAAGACTGCGGTGTTGTGCTATTTTAATCACACCACCACAGACTGGGAACATTTCAAACATGAAGTGATTACAAAAAGGAGTGTACTTTCTAAATGAATTTTGTTTTGGTAATTGATGAAATTGCTATTGGCTTAAAGGAGAATCATACTTATATATGTCTCAATTCATTGTAATCCATTATATTACTGCAGCCAGAAAATAGAGCCTGTTCCCTGAAATTGTTACACACAATTCAATGCATTGTTAGTGACACATAAGTATTTCTTTTTAAAGCAGTGCTCCAGGCGAATTGAATATAGGACAGCACATGCATTGAATCCTTATGGAAAACAACACCTTTAGGTGTCTCAAATACTTGGTTGGCAGTACAGAAAATGTGTATGTGATCTGCATTTTGTTTTTCAAGGATTTAAAGAAGTTTTCAAACATTTTTTTTTCTAGCATAAGTGCAGAAAGTGCAAATGTTGTTTGTTCACAATCATTTGGAACAAACCAATTTACAAAGCAAATTCCAAGACTAACACCTCGAAGACCTACAGTACTGCATACAAAACATATATATAATCAGAGGTCATATCTTATGACTACAAAACAGCAAACATCTCTGGCATTTACTCCAATAAAGGAAAAGCCACACTAAAATAGTTTGTTTTAAACAAATGTCCCACTTCTTGAGCTTATTTTATTATGTTTATTAAGCTTTAGCATATCTGAACATCCAGTGATGTTGTTTGTGCTATTCCAAACAGCTTCATTATGATTATGTATTTTGTAGGCATACAAAAAGTCACAGCGCAGCTCAGTGAAGTTGTGAAATTAGTTTAATTCATGGACAGGCCCTTTCCTGACAAACGTATCTTCTTCTGCCCCAAACGTGATCCTTCTGGAGATCCTTTTTATGATGCACGCTCAGCCCTGGCCAACATTATGTGTTACCATAAATGTCAAGAGAGACCCAAAACGTATATCCTACCACACAATATCAAAAGACAGCTGAACAGGTCCGCCTGCCTGAATTCTACAATTTGACTGCTTACATTTTTTTTTCAGAAAAGCTCATGCCATATACACTCAATTCCCTACAACATTTTTATACAAACAATATATAATATAATACAATAGATCTATGCCAAAAAAGAAACCAAGAAACCACAGTTTCTTATGGAATTCTACAGTTTGTACTAAAGGCTTCCTGGGTAAGTGAGGTTGACTCCTGAGCCTGGAGGCACATCAGCCCACAGATCATCCTGGTGTTTGTCTTGTTAAGGGGACGGACAGGATGTGACTCTCCTCCAGATGGGGTGTGGATCCACGCAGAGCTCTTACTCACTTTCATAGCTGGGTGGACTGGAGCAAAGGAGGGACAGCCCTGACTGTCATAAACTGCCAAACTGGGACCCAAACAACCACCTGGTACTGGTGGTGTAACACTGCAATACTCTTTGCTGGGCAAAAGATTAAAATATGATTTATACATGTATTCATATAATGAGTCACCTGCAGTGGACTCTAAATGGATACCCTATTCAGGCTAAAGACATTGAAATTCCTTTGGGTTATGTCATTATAAGCAGACTGTTATACTGTGAATATACAGTATATATTCAGTTTCCAATGTATTCTATTAACCTATGACTGACTACCCTGGTCTCCTCAAGATATATTCAGAAGAATCACCTTGACAGCCAAACACCATTATGCCACCTAATTTGGCACTGCCTTGCACAAAATCTTTGCGTGATTGAGAAGCACAAAGCCAAGGCTTTTGTTATTTTTGCTGAACCGCTGAGAAAAAAAAAAGATTCTCCTTTATTGTTAATCCCATCTATCTCAAATCAGACCCCCTGCAGAGGGAAGTGAATGAACCGTGAAGCACTCAGGACCCTGAACAGCCCCACCAGCGCAGAGATGAACAACACGAGCGAGACAAGATGAACAAGGAGAGGGAGGTTGCACACAGACAGGAGCATGGCAAATACAAAATAACCTGGCTGGTGCCTCTTATGGAAGCTGTTCCAATTTTCATAAACTCAAGGGTCATTGTGCAAAGACAGCGCAGTGATCTACAAGCATGTCTCGCTGTGAAGTTGAGAGACTTCTCTTACATAAGCATACATAATGAACCACAACTAGCTTAGTGATTTTCAGTGAACACTTAACCCATTATAACTTAGATATAATTATTAACTAACATCAGTTTGGAAAATGATGCAGTGCATACTGTAGTATTTGATACCTTTTTGTGGGAAATAAGCAGAGAGCTGAGTGTGGGAGGTGGTTTTTATTTTCAGGCCGTTTATTAAAAATAAGAAGGCAGGTTTGCAATTTATATATCTAAGATCCCAGGTTCAGTAGATCATCCGTGGCTGCTAATCGGTGAAAATGAATGTCTTCTCATAAGAGTTCCCACAGAGAGATTTATCAGTGCAGCCTCCTGATCAGCCTCCAGAAACAGAGTAGGCTTTAGGAACAAGTTTCTCAGAGGGCCCGTTTAATGAAATCTATCCGACCAAAGCACTGATCACTTTCTTCATCAAATTCCTTCCTCCCAGTTGTAACAGAAATCAAGGGAGCTCTGCCTCATCTCTCACACTTATTTAGAAGAAGCCTTTAACTACTTAAATTCACATTCACAGAGGGTTTTCAGAAAGCTTTGACAGAGGTAAAATTAAGGAATGAAACACATCCAATCACACAATGAAGCACTTGAGCACCAAATCCTTTCCAAGTTAATTAGAAGTCCCTTGAAGTGATGAAGACAGTTTCCTTTGTAATAAGGCACTCTCCTCTCCCTTTATCTCCTTTTACTATACAAGAGAACTGTGCTTTTACATCCCTGAATTATTTAGTAAACTTTTCCTTTCAGGAGCCAACAGAAAAAGCCTGTAAATTTACTGAAGGCTTTCACAAGACACAATCTCCCAGAGTCTGAATCTGGCACATACCTGGTTGTAACTGTGGACAGCACCTCCAACTTGGCCGCTGCGAGAAGGGATCTGTGGTGCTGAAGAATCACTCAGAGCAAGGGTCTGGTTGCTATGGTAGCTGGCTGTGTACTGGAAAGACCCTTCTGGATTGGAAGTGAGCTGCAGTGCACTCTGGGAAAGAAGGCTCGGCCCTGTGTTGAAAGTAATTTAGAGCAGGCAGTGATGCAGACCTCAGTGAAGCAGAAACAGCATACATAATTTATCAGGAGAAGCTCAGAATGATTGAACACACGTGCTGCTCGCTGTCGAAATCAGGACAGTAATAAAGGTAATTGGGAACAGCTAATTTTCTTGCTAGAAATTAACGAATATTTTGTGCAACTTATGATGATATCAGCTCTTTTTTTAGCTTAGCAAGTGCCAGGTCTCTGTTACAACAAAGTGGAATGAGAGAGAGAATATTTTACCATTGATTAATTGACTCCAGAAAGTACAATGCAGGTATTTACACAGAGGACCCCTGTTTGGCTACAATTGGGACAGCTAAATTTTTTATTCCATAACAACTTTTACTTCTACGCCATTGTCAGGAGTCAAACTCTTCCTATGCAGGTTATTGCTCAGTTGTTTCTCCTAAAGATGCAGATGAATAGCACCAAAAAGAGCAAATTATAAACAGATAGAACAAATAAAGACATAAGGAACAGTGGACTATGAAAATGTTAAATCTTCGGCTTTATGCGAATAGTGGATTCTGGGAAAATCTGTACATTGAAAGATGACAAACTACTGCACCGCTAAATGTTCTTAGTTCTACTGAACTTTCAAGATTATTTTTGACTCAAGTGCTGTGCTGGAGACAGTATTCAGAACAGTCGGCCTAGTTCCCAACAAGCTACAGTATAAACAAATCTAAATGTATCCACATCATAGTACTACAGAAACACCGTCTGACAAATACACTACTTACAAACACTGGAAGCCATGCATTAGACATTTCTGAAATATAAGGAAAAATAATCTTTCCCCTCACACAGCTTGGTGGTTCCCACTGAATTACTGCACTAGAATGATTAAAATCAAAATCCAAAACTGTTCTTTCAAGGAATACTTCACTGCAGTGTGGGGCTATAAGATGAGAGGTTTTTCCAAAACCTCAAGCAGCACTGAAAGAAGTAAATAATAATGAAGATTTGGAAAGAATTCTACATTCAATGGCAAAAATCAGCTTTTCATTTAGTAAAAGTTATATCTCCACATGGGAATTTTAGATTTGAAGTTTGAAGTAAATGGGTAAAAGCAGAACTCACAAACTGAAAGTCACAAGCTGGTAAAAAAATGTCATTCTAAATGATAGAAGATCCGAATTCGAAATGAATTGCAAAACAATCCATACACATTCTAAAAGCAAAACACAGCTAAATATTTTAGCTTTGAAGGGTGCTTCAAGTTTGCAACCACAGGATGGATTTAAGAGCATTCTACATGCCTCTTCAGACTTCAGCTTGAGAAAACAACATGAAAAAAAAGCCAAATGGTTCAGTTTCATTGCAGTCATCAAGAGCCAAGATTCCAATTAAAAAAACAAAGACCTTTTAACTGGCAATCTTGGAGAAACCATGTGAAATAATCTTGCTTCTCCTCATAGGTATAAAAAACAACAGAAAGGGAGTTACCACGGAAAATACTTGCATTTTGAACTTATTTTAATGGTCATATATAACAGTTAACTCCAGGGCTTTGTACAGTTGGTCATTAGCCACACAACCATAAGCAAACACGAAGTAGTCTGCACTCAAGCCCACCTTCAAAAATTACGATCCCATCTCTTACAATGAAAACTTACAGGGAAGAAAACCGAGGTCTCTCGGAAAACAATTTCTGTTAAATACACTGATCATAACAAAGAGTATACTGTACAATTCAAAACTCAGTTTAAAAGAATAAATGTTTATTAAATCGTGGCACATATTAGTTTTTCCTAACAGTGCAGAGCATTATTTTGTACAGGTAATCCAACTGTGTTCTGTAAGAAAATAAAGTATTTGCATGTACAGTATATACAGTGTATGTGTGCTACACTGACGACTCCACTGAGAACAGCATCAGTTCACTTTGGAAAATCTCAAGTGTCAAATTATGCTGTACACTGCCTGTAAGAAACAGTGTAAGTCTAATCTGTAAGAAAAGTGTGAGTCTAGAACACAGCCCACTCAACAGCTAATATTTTGGTTCCTTTTTTATTCTGAGGTAAAAAGGGCATGCTTGGACTGTGATGTTGGCCTTTGATGTTGGTGCATTTTTACTCTTGTTTCTGCGCAGAGTGCCTGACTTGGCTCAACAAAACAGCTAAGACAGAAATGCAGCTCTTGTACTGAAAAGCAATGAGCAAACTTAGATTACAAAGGCTTCCTCAATGAATGGATACTGAATTCAGCATTTTATTTCACTCAGTGCTCAAATCCACGCTTTGAGTGCACAACACGTATCTAAGAGGGTTTGCTATATGAGCCACAAAGACCTATACATTAATCATCTTACATTTAAGAAGCTGCTCAACTTGTCAAGTTCCTTTTTGAGTTTTCTGCCCTTTTTGGAGTTTCAGACTTATCATTCCATCCCATTCAACTAACTGAATATGAATTTGATTACCCTGTCTGGCTTACTTAAGATTTTATTCTTTTTTATATTGCCAAGGGAGAACCTGTGCACTTTAGTGTTCTTAAAAGAAAAGAGTGGGCCGTCTTGATCCTTTTGTGCAATTCAATTCACAGCAAGACCCCTGACGCACGCTGAATTAGCAATGACAGGTATTTATCTTCAGAGAACCTTTTGTTACAGAACCACTTTAACCAGTACGTGGAAGAGGTAAAATTTCTCAGGTATCTTTCAAGAGAGCTCTTAATAAAGTTGAATTGAATGTATGTGAATTTTTTAAAGACTGCAGAAGCTAATTTCTAGGATCAAAAGACTAGCATCATAGTTATTTTGGTCTTTGCATAGAATATTAGTGTAAAGATTTCACAAACATCATTAAGGCCAATTATTAACAAAGTAACAAATTTTTAGTAGAGAATCCGAAAGTGATAAATTGAGGTATTTTGTTTGACGAGCACCTGTAATGATGTGCAGAAGTGTGAGGGCTCTCACCATAAATGAACGACTAATCATTACAGCTATTTAATAATGCAGAAAAACACCACATGTTGCATATTATTATGGTGACAATCAAAATTCCAGGAGGAATCGCATTCCGAAAACAGATACATTCATCTAATGAGGCATCTCGATTGGTTTTTGTTCTTGGATTATTAAGATCAATCACTAAAGCTAAAAAATCCTTCAAGACTCACCCTATAAACGTTAGGGTCCAATTAATCACAGCTTTGCTAAAAGCACATTATATCTCGACATGAAAAAAATGCAAAAAACAAATTCAATCGACACAAAGGCATAAAAAGCCTTACTTTCAGCTGAAGAGTATCCTGGCGGGTCAAGGATGCCCGACTCCTGGAGAGACCTTATGCAGGAATCCACAAGTTCCAAGCCTGTAGTCAGTTCATCTTCAATGTCTTTTTGGCCATCTGTAATCCAAAATGTAAACCTCGTCATCAAAGCAACCGACGCATTACTGGAACAACACAATGACTCGTGGAATTAGCTCTGATCTCCCAAAAGGAATTTTGTTTTTGCTGTGGTTACATTCCGTAAATAAATGTCCTTCACCTTGTGAATGAGTGCCTGCTTGCACTCATTACTGACACGTCCCGTCAAGGAGTATAAAAGTTGCCTGCCAGGGGGTTATACAAGGGGTTTAAGGCAAAGGATTAACCTCCACTGTAACAAAAACAATGAAACTATGCAGGGGTCCGAGGTCTCAGCATCACTAATACAAGTGATCCTAACGCACAGTTTAGATCCATATACAGCAACCATTCCGATAGCTGTGTTCTTAGGGAGCTAAATGTTAATCTTCATATGACTTAAACACTCTCACAGAGCCAAGAGCACGTTGATTGAAAATCCACGGCACTTCATTTCTTTTAAAAATGATCCTACTTCCTCTCGCTTGTCAGCGCTATATGTGGAGCACATTTGAGAAAGGCTTGATACACAGCTCTCTCTGGTCCCTGGGTGGGGCACTTGCATGCCTGTAACATATCAGCACAGTACTGCTGTCATGAGAGCACTACAGACCCACGACCTGTCAGTCACACCCTCAAAACAATTTCTGCAGCACACCTGGACACACTGAGTATGTGTGCGAGTATGAGTTTAATGTAACACAATCAACAGGCAGTTTATTTAATAGGCTTTAATTAAAAAATATTGGATAATACAGTATAAAACAATTACTGTATGTACAGTATGTATAGTACCAGAGAGTGAAAGGCTGCAGACACACAGATTATTAACTAAATCACAGATTGCACTCTTCTATCTACTGTATATACAGTTTGCTGCGTATAAAAGGCACATAAGCTTCCACATGCTTGTCTGCAGTATGCCCTTGTTAACTACTGCCTCCGTGTAAATGAACCGCAATGAAGAGAATACTGATGCAGGAGGAACTGCTCCAGACTTCCCGCCATCCCTGTCCCGGCCACAGGGAAAGCAGCTCCGTGGCCTCAGGCTTGGGAGGAGGAAGAGGCTACCGGGACACGCAGCGCCATGGCGACCCTCTCGGAGCAGGCGGCCCAGGAGGGCCGGCGGAGAACCGCCTCGCTGTGCGGTAGGGGGGTTGTCACGGACATCCAAAGGGACTAACCGTGGGGAGCAGGAGAGCGGAAAAAGACCCATATGCGTAGCGGCGAGACGGGAAAAAGGCCCGGGCTCATTAGTGCAAAGAGTTCAGGAATGGCGTATAAAAACCTATGCCCTCAGGGAGCGGACGTGGGGCACCCTGGTGCTAGGCGGGTCTCAGGACATCAGAACGTCGATGCTGAGCCAGGACAGAGTGCAAGACCCAGAAATATATAGCCCAAGGAAGAGAGGGACAGGAAGGACAGCAGACCGGAAACTAGGGACAGGACAGAGAAGGAGCGCCCTCTGGCTGCAGAGGGCGTGACAGGGGTCTTGTGAGATTGGATGTTTCCCTTTCTCTCCGGCTCACACGTGGATGCACCAGTGAGGGAGTAATGAAATAAAGAGCTCCAAACCGGGAAGCCGAGAAGATAACTCTATACAATATATATATGTGTGTGTGTGCTCACGCACGTATTAACTCCTGAACTCAACAGAATTTTACCTTGGGTATTCCAGCGGAACGGCTCCTCTGTTGAACTGGAAGGAAAAGGAAAAGAAATCCCATTAAAAAAGTGCCCATTCAAGTGTAATGCCTGTGCACATCTGTCACTGTGGAGAACACCATCATCATCTGATGGTGCACACCGCAGAGGCAAACAGCCCAGCCAAAGCCACTGTGCTCATCTGAGTTTCCTGCAAGGAGGCAAAAGATTTCCCATTATAATGACACACTATGCAAAGTTAGACAGACGCAGCGAATACCAGTAGCACTCTGCTGTAATCGCATGTTCAGTCAGTATAAATTTGGATGGCTAGTGAGGCCTCTCCTTTCTTCCTCATACTTCCTGTAGCAGATCTTCACTCCAGCAAGGCGAGACGTAGCTTACAGAGGTAACAAAGCTTGCCTGCGTTGAGGTAATGGACCAAAATACAAGGTTTACTTGAAAGTGCAACAAATCATAGCAGGAGAAATGTGTTTTGACCTGCATTTTTATCAGTCTGAAGCCTGAAAGAGGAGCCGCACAGAGCAGATGTTTTAAAGATTCCTTTGCTTGTATGGGGTTACATGTCTACCTCTGCGTATCATCTGTGTGTACACACACCATATATAAACCCAACACACTACGCAAAAACCTCCAGCAGCTAAACGTGCTTTTGACTGATGTTACTTTCTTCTTTTGAAATCACAATGATTCTAGCATCCACTTCGTGCCTCTATCCCGTTTTTACTTTTCATGGGCAAAATGACATTAAAGACATTCACTTTTGTCAGTAGCACATCACAATGAGCACACACTTATGTGTTAGCTTAAACCTTTGTAAGATTCAGGTGAGAACATATTTTTACACTCATTTTAAATATTTCACCCCATTAAAAATTTGATTTTTTTTTTTTTACTTTTTTGCTGCCCAAATGGATTTGAGTTTCCCCTCATGAATTGCTTATCTGTATGACAGATGAATATCGTACAGGTGGTGGCTGATTTGACAGTCCCAGCATGGTGATCCCTGTTCCTGTTAGACCTTCAGAGCTATACTTTATTGTACATTTCTGTGTTCATGTGGTAGGAGTCATTCCTTGCAGTGAACCCAGAAATTGTAGGTCCAATATGAAAAGCACATTGAATAGACTGTGGGGGAAAACAATATTTCTCTGATAGATTCTTAAAAGCATTTGGCATTTTATCAAACATCTCTCTCGGAATGGAATAATTATTTTTTACCCTGTGCTTCTGCTCAATAATAATCAAATACAATGATTTTATATATTAAAAGCTTAGTGCAGTTCTGCACTTATGTACTTATTGTGCATAACAAATTAAATCTGATCTAGCTTTACAGTGAAAAAGTCCAATTGCTTTTATTAAACTTGTTTTTTAATTTTGAAGAATGAGTCATGGTTGTTATTTCTGTATGTGATTGGTTCCTTGTAATTTCTCACATTCCTTTTTTGTCCAGACCTTCAAAATGGTTTGTGTGAAGGAGAGCTATTTTATCAAAAATTGTTCCCCAGAGAAGAAGGTTAAAGAGTTAAGTACCTTAAGCGCATCAGTAGTATAGTGGTGTAAGTGATTTTGAAGAGTAAAATAACTGGTGCTTTCTTATGCATTCCTGCTTGGAGCAATAGCAGAAAAAAATCAAGAGGATACCCTGCTGTGATCGTGATTTACATTATCTCAATATTTAAAAAAAAAACAATCTCTTGCTTAATATCTAGTCCTGCTGTTCCTGTTCCTGAACTGTATAACCTTCCCAGACATGAAACGTGAATGTAAAGATAAAATGGGCACAAGCATACCGTATTGTGAATACCCAGAATACACAGTATCAGCTCCTTCAACCTTTGTGTGCAATATGTTTGTATATTGTATTGGAAAGATACAGCACAGGGTAAGCTTAGCTGAGCAAGTCTTGATCTTTAGAGAGGTGTGACTGGGAATGGACTAGAAATGGTTTTCTCCTTACTTCTCATTTTAGCACAGAAGGCTTTTTCAAAACCCAATACTGTAACTTCGTTTTTTAAAAATTGCTTAAATATTCAAGAATAAATTGTACCACATTGCACAGAGCTAACAGAAAACAGCAGTGTCTAGGGTGAAATTTGTCATTAGATAGATCATCACAAATTTATTTAAGAAAACATTTAATAAACAAAGATTATCTTCATCAAAGGTCAGCTTTTAATAATGTAGCCAGAGTGTGTCCCGGTAGTGTCAACATTTACAAAACCTGTCAAGGAGATCAATGAGGAAAGCTCTCCCATCTGGAGCACAGTGAATACAAGTAATAATAAGAGATTAGCTGGAAATGAAACTGGTGTAAAATATCGAATTCTCTTTTCCTCTGATCAATATTGCAAGGAACTGTGTGGCGGCACGAGCTGCTAAGGGCTGAATTTTATGATGAGTCTAAATGGTCATTCACCACCCATAGCCGAGCGACAGCTGCTAAACCAGCCCCACACTTTCCATTGATTTTTCTCAGGGATTCATATTGCAAGCCTGTCCCTGTTTGCACTCGAGTGACGAATTGCTGGAGAAAACAAAATGCCACATGTTAATATAATGGTGCATTTCAGCATGAATATCCATGAATTACATTCTGCAGTGAACACTGAGAAGATAGCACTTGTACAGACCAGTGAGAGGAGGACAAAACTGGGCCAGGAAACAGCCTCAGGAGGCTGTATGATAGAGTCTTCTATTGCTTCGAGGAAAAAATGGACCAGGCCACATGAATAACAAGGATTTTCTACATCTGGAATTGTGTGGCGCCCCTGTTTGTACCCCAGTGTCATGATCATTGTGATGGTTATTTTATTGTAGTTGTTGTAGTGACAAAATTGAATCTGTTGCCAGGGGGAAAAAAAGATGTGCAAATAACCCCACTTTGAAGATAGTGGATATTTATAGCACTGTTCGCTTTCAAGGTCCAGAATGGGAGTAACAGAATCAAATGACAGACAAGCAGATGAATCCCTGCTCTATCAGAGCAGTCCTAAGTACTAAATGTAGTAGTTCAGGTGGGTAGCTGCGTCAGCATGCGTAGGCTGCAAAGGAACAAATGATAAGTTTATTCCATGCTGAAAAAAAGAAAAAAGAAAACACAACGTTTTGGCTGTGGAGCCTTCTTCAGGTGTGAGCCTCAAACCTCACACCTCACTCCTCACACCTGAAGAAGGCACCACGGCCGAAACATTGTGTTTTCTTTCTTCTTTTTTTCAGCATGGAATAAACCTATTACTTGTTCCTAAGTACTAAATGCTGACAAGGCCAAATGGAAGACAGTTCAGGAATCCTCAAGAGAGCTTTTCAATTGGGCTCTGTCTATTTACCTTCACCCCATCGGGGGCAGTCAATTCACACAATGAACTCTTTCTCTGTTTAGATTTTGTTGCTTAAAACACAAGCACTCATCACTTGCATAGAGATTAGAAAGTTTGGCTAAGCATTTGATTTAATTAGGATGCTGAATGAGGGCCTACAAGAGCAAGCACGCTCTCTTATCAGGGTCATGACTGAGGAGCTGCAAAACCAAATAAAAAGGACTTTAGCAAACCCCCTCAGTGCCTCATGGACATGTAGGCAACAGGACAGGCCTCCTCACCAAACTTTTCTTCATCCCACAATACATCCTACATGGCATCTGTCCTGTCCACATCCCCTGCGATGTCATCGACAGAATGTGGACCATAGTAAAGAGTGGAAAGGACTCCCTCTGGAGGGAGAGGATCATGGGGGTGTCAGTCAAGGGTGTGGGCAGTCTGGATATGTCCCTCATGATGGACAGTTATTACCTGAGACATTGGTGAGGAGTGAGGGAGCAGCAGAGCTCTGGAAAACAGAGGATAAAGGAATTCCGGTTCGAGCTCAATACTGATACTAACACAGACCCCGTGACTGGAAAAATAAGTTACCTCTGTATAGACTAACACTTGCATTTATAACATTTAAAAAACAGTTAATGATTTCATTTAAAAAAAATGAACTGTATATTTGTTTAAAGAGGTACTGTTTTATATTTCCACAAAAATGTTTTGGTGCTGTGCACACAGCATCTGAGTGGTGAAGCTACAGTCAATTACTCATTGTCGCCTAGTCGTTTGGCCCAACATCAAAAAGACGGTTTGAATTCATAGCTGTTAATTAAAATGACTGAGAGTAATGAAGCCATGAGCACATTTAGGAGATGAAACTGCCACTAGTGCAAACAGCCCTTGAGTGTCAGATGAGTCGTCACATTAGCTCCCTAAATTCAGTTTCTCATGTCTGCTTGAACCAAGATTGCCTCCTTACACATTCCCCTTTTTAAGAGTGTTGCTTTGTACTAGTGTGTCAGAGATAAAGCTGTCAATAGCATCCGTCTTGACTTTCAAACCACTTTTGGGATCAAATTACCTTTCTCTCAGTGCATCTTACATGTAATTTTTTTAGGAAGAACTTACTCATCTGCATTCCAGTAGTTTTAATATTCATCCACAGATGCATTTTCTTATTGTAATGATGCAGCGCTGAGCTGGAAAGCACCCCATCTGTAAGACAGGCTGAGGAGTCCAAATACTTGGTCTCAGTGAAGGTAAACAAAGAGTTGAGAGCTGGGACAGCCCTAGACAGGCAGACAAAGTTGGACAATACCGGGGCTGTGCTGTGCATGCAGACAGAGGATGGATGAAGCACGTACTGCGCTGTACAGGGAGACAGAGGACGGACAGGACATGGGAGGTACAGAGTAGCTGAGTAGAGTAGCTGCACAGCCAAGCAAGTCTGGAAAATCAGGAAGCTTCAGGGTCCCGCTGGTCTGGTCTGTGACTGTGAGGGTGTCGAGGGTAAGGAGTAGACTAGGATTTGTCTGGCTTTGGGTTCCACCTCGGGATAAGGCAGATGGGCTGAATCAGTGAATATAGTCAGAACAGCCGGTAAATGCTAAGAGCACTTCCCTAGAGAAGTATTGTAGAAAAGCTCAATGACAGTGCCTGACCATGGGCACATCTGGGTTAAAGTATCCTGAAGCTGACAAGAGAGGTACCCATTAAGTGG